AAAACATACATACATACATACATACATACATACATACATACATACATACATACATACATACATACATACATACATACATACATACATACATACACAATATTACACAAATACAGAACAGTTTACAACCATGCCACTGTCCGTCGCCACTGTGCAGCGCCCTGTATTTTGAGCTTGCTAGGGTTGTCGTGTCTTGCTCAAGGACACACCCGAGTAACCACCTATCTGATCCCCGTGTCACCGACACTTGCTTGACATTATTTGAGTCTAAAACCAATACTTACTTAGCCACTGGAGGTTTATGGTGATGTCGATGATGACACTCATGCCCCACCAGCTGCAGACCAAAAGGAATGTAGCTGCACATTTCGAACCTACACACACAAACCAGGAATTATACGAAGTTGAACATTTCCTAGTATAAATGTACTGTTGTTGCCTGCATTTTTAGGTTTCAGATAATGAAATTATGCATCTAATTTAAAGATCTGTATGAAGGACGAAATTATGATTTGTTAAGTATTTCAAAGGAGGCTTGTCTTCAAGCGTTCGAAAGACCAGGATGCTAATACATGTAGTCCTCTAATAGTTCTCTGCACCCAATGTCGAGGCGTTGAATTTTGACTTACTGTGCGCGTGAGAGTTTTGTGGCACCCTTAAACATCTTTGTTTTACACCCCCATCGACACAATTTAGACATTTTAGGAGGCCGGCGTCCGACCCTGCCTGTCAGGGTCAGGGTCAGCCTGAGCAGAGAGGGATATAAGATATAATATCGTCCCAGTAGAAAGACCGAGAAATACGATAACGATTTTCCCCCTCTCAGAAATCGAACTCGACAACGAAACGCCTCACCGCAACTCTACAGACCCCGATATGACATATTGTTAATAGCAATGACGTCATAAAAAGGCCATGACAAAACAAAAACCAAAAAAAAAAAAGAAAAAAGAAAAAGAGGGAGAGAGACAGAGGGAAAGAAATAGATTCTAAAACCTTTCCAAAGCCCAATGACAAAAATTCCTCGCAGGACTAAGCTTGGATACGTGGGCACAACATGTCATGCTGTTCCAGGTAAAGGGATATCCCTACACGGGCTGTCAGCCCCCTTGAGGTGGCCTAATGCGGCGTGTAATATCTTGTTATTTTGACCAGGCCACTCATTGTCCGGATTTGTCGTGTCATGTCTCATTCAGAAAATCTGTCTGCGTTCTTGTGCTGGGTGCTGCGAGGTTGGAGCGAAGTTTGTCCAGGCCATAGACATGTCCTGTACATGTATTTATAAATTTATAATACCCAACACTGGGTGCTCCTGGTGTAATTTCTGACGTGATTTTGGTTCACTGTAAAGCGCACCAGTTGATTCTATATGGAGTCAAATGAAAGGCAAGGAAGGAAAAAGTTGCGCGTGCATTCGACTAAAGCGAGAATTCTGTTTTGCCCTATATCATTTGAGTGTCCATGGTGTAGGCCTACACCAGCGCAGCTACGTTTTTCTTTTCTTTTTTTAAGAGACAGAGAGGGAGAGAGAGAAAGAGATAGAGAGAGAATGAGAGAGAGAGAGAGAAGGAGAGCGAGCGAGCGAGAGAGGGAGAGAGAGGAAGAGGGAGAGGAGAAGAGAGACAAGAGAGCGAGAGAGCAAGAAAGCGAACGAGAGAGAGAGGGAGAGAGAGAGA